GCTCCTCTAGTGTTACTGTAAAAATATTCAGATACATCTGCGATACTTTTACCTTACACCTTTTTTTCTTATAAAAACTAGACATATTTCAGACATATTTCTTTGAATGGAAAAATATGGCCATTGTTTTTTTACTTTGGGATGCTCCCAAGAAGAAATATTTGTATGAAAAAATAAACATGGCTGTTTACTAAAGAAACTGTTTCCAAAGAAACTAATTGTCCCAAGCAAGAAGCTTTTTGGAGTAGCTTGCTCAGAAAGAAGACTCCACCAGAACCTGAAAATGTATGTACATACATGTTTTCGGTGGATTAGCTCAATGCAGAAGACACACACACACAGACCTTTTGTACCACTGTTGTTCTGCAGTGCAATGAACTGAAGAAGTGGAGTTGCAATCTGAAAAAACATCCCCACCGAACTAAACTGGTACTGAAGGAGTTTCTTAAATGGAGCCTTTGACTCATGAACTTGTTCAGGCATTTTTTTCTTGGAGACCCCAATTTTTGTATCACGTGTATGAAACCTTGTAAAAAACTAGCATGATTTTCATATCATAATTATGAAAAAAGCAGGAAATAATATAATGCAATGTAGCTGAGATAGACATCGCATCCTAAAAATATAAAAAAATAATACTAGAAAACATTGAATATTCTGTATGTTTTTTCATTTACAATATAAATTAATGCTATATATTTCAAATGCAATAATGTGCATAATACGCAAGACCTACCCAAGCATCTTATCAACTTTACACTGCTCAGTAGGCTTCATGTCTCTTAACGTTGTGTTCAGTGATTCATTCACCCATTCCACAGCAGTGTTAACAGAGTCATTTCTCTCTTTCTCATCAGCTTCAGTTGTTCCAGGTAAAGCATTTTCAGGTATTTGAGAATGAGAAGACATTACAGTGGAACAAATCCTCTGAAAAAAAACGTAAAAAGGCTTAAAACACTATTTAATTTCTAACTTGGAAGTGTCATTTGAAAGACTAAGAAGTATATGTCCTTACCAACTCTGCAGGTACCTATCTCCAAATCTACTCTTTGCTCCACTTACTTATCTTTTTTCATCCAGCACCTTCTTCCTAGTCTCTTATACTTTGGTAATCACAGACATTATTCAAGTTTCTTGACCTAAATTCTAACTACTTTTAGGCAAAAACCTCCTGACAGATCTGCTTTATACGTATATTTTGTTATCAGAATAGAATGGAGTTATTTTAAAGACCATACAGTCATTATGACATCTTTTATTGCAGCTGTTTGTAGCCTGTTGTACCATGATTCATCAGCATTAATGCTTAATGCCATCCCACATGATCAGTTACCTTTTATCTTACTTAGGTAATTTAAACATATCTTTCTGTACTGCTGAAGGATAAATGATTCTTAAGAAAATTCACTTAATGAAGACATCATTTACAAATATCACAGTTGCCTGCATTAATAATATTAACTTTACATACTGTGAGTATCTATGAAATTATATTTAATTCAAGAGTGAAGTGAACCATAGTTTAACTGAGGGAAAGTATAAATAATTACCCCACAACTGCTAGAGTTGCAAAGACAGAATCTTGAATATTTCAGGTTGGAAGAGAAATGGCAATGCACCATCAGTTTTGCATTGCAGTTGCTAGGTGGGTATGTTTGACTTAACCATCACCCACATCACCCTACTAGCTCAGTGTAAAAAAGTGCCTTCACCTATACTGTGTTTTTCACTTGTACTATATTTTTCTGAAACACTGTCATACAAACAGAAATACAAGCATCTGAAAAAAAAAAAAAAAAAAAAAGAAAAACGTAAAATGAAAATGAACTTACAGGGCTAGATACAGGGTGTAAGGAAAAGCTACATGATCATTAAGACAGGCAAAAATTTAATATACTAAGATGCACTGTCACATCCCACTCATATTGCCTAATTAATGGAAAGTAAAGTTTTTATAGTCGCTGCCACTGTCTAACTTTTCATGACAGTTTTTTTTCTAAGTTACAGAACTATTTACTCGACTGTTGAGTCACAGGGATTCATATCCTTTCATTAAAGACAGAAAACAAAATGTTCCTTGTGATGTGAGGAGAATAGTACCTCTCCCTGATATTCTCTTATTAAAATAAATAAAACAGGAAGAAGCAGCTCATACCTTCTCATAGTTTTTAACTGTACAGTATATTTCCACTTCTAATGTTGGCTGACCAACTCCATCAAAAACTTTTCTTCCAACTAATTTGCATATTACTGGAGCTTTTGAAAATTTAGAAAAGTAGTTAGCCTTAAATGAAAGAGAAAGAACTTCATTAAAAGTCAATTTCTATGCAGAGAGGGTTTTATTCCACTAGATATATTTAAATCAAATCCACCATTGAGCAAATCCATTTATACATCCCAGTATTTAAAATATTTGTTACACTGCACATTTACTTCTATATTATCTGCTTAAGAATGAAATTCCAGGGAACAGATCCAACTCATATCTAAGCATGGAAGTCCAAAGCCACATCCAGGTTAGGTGAACATGTGTTTTACTTGGCAAAGTTAGTGATGAGTATCAAAATCTCCTTAATCCTCCTAGAAAATAGGCATTTGTCCAAAGCTTACTTGGCTTTACACTGAATAACAAAAATAGCCATCGTGCTACTCATGAAACTGATTTCTATTAGAATTTACACAGCCTCCACCTCCCCTGTGCAGTGAGCTGCTATAAAATGATTTTGGCTGTGGATAAGGTCTTCAAAAAATACATGTCTCTTCTCTCTCATAAGGAGAGAAGAAAGATCCTAGACAGGAAAAACTCTTACAAATGCACACGGAACTCTACTAGATCCTAATGTTATATTAAAATTCCTGTAGCGCGCTTTCATCAACAAGTAGTTATTAAGCTTTGAAATGATACTGTAATTTGTTTCCCTAAAAAAAATACTAGAAACAATCTTTAACCAAAATCTTCCTGCTCAGAGAAAGTTCTTGTGTGAAATGCTACACACAAAATTTTGTATGTGCTGCAGACAGGGAAAACCGAGAAGTATTTTCAGAATATACTTCTTGCTTATAGAAAGTACTTAATGTCCTAGATAGCTAATAATGTTTCAGGGTTGCTTCATCAAAGACATATATACAGTGGCTTACGTGTCTCAACACTCAACTGACGCAACATTAAAGATCTTCATAGCGGAAGATTTAATCTGGAAGGAAGAGAAGCTTGTCAACAAGCTCCTCAATAACAATGCTAACCATGCCTTTTGTAGACTCCTCTCTTACAGAACATATTTGGTGTAAGGTTACTTAACACAATGACCAAACTCTCCTAATTAGAAGTGTTTTTTTGGTTGGACAGAACTTGAGCTAACAAGGCTGGCACAATTTTAAGGAGTTGAGGGTATGCCGCACCTAGTATTTGGGGCTCTGTCTGTATTTAATGAATACCAATGTTTAAAAAAAGGATGAAGTTGCTACCTGAGGTTTACTACATACTTCCTTACTAGTTTCATTCTTTAGTCTGGTATCAGAAACGATCACCAAACCATGACTTACCAGATGGGAAAACTAGGAAACACCTGTATAGCTACATAGAAGAGGAACATGCCAAACGCTAAGCAAAGCAAGAACAGGTGTTACCAGTTCTAGCCCCTTCCACTGATGATGTCAAAACACTTGGAGATGGTATAAGATGTAACAAAATGTTTCATTTCCACATCCACTTTCACATCAAAGAACATACCAGAAATTATTTTTTTCAAGAGTTGCTCACTATTGTCGTGTTGGCAATTCCAGTATCACCACTAACAGATGTTTCATTAGGACTACCATCTACGATATTTTGCCAACTGGGAACAGATAAAATCGGTCTGATTCCTGACACTTCCACTGACGCCCGTTCGCTCCTCAGGAACAGCTGCTGTGCAAATAGCACCCAGCGTCTTGTTGCTGCCACTGGCCCAAGCAATCACCATGCCGAGCAGCACTTTTATTAGGGACGCCCATCTGCACCCTCCTGAGGCAACATACTTTGTTTTTGTGTTGAGATGAGCAACTAGCACAGGACGGAGAGCCCCACTCCTGTGTAAATGTATTTGGCCCAGCGTCAAAGCGCCACTGGTCACAGACACAGAACCATCGCAGACCTCGCCCGAGTCAGCAGTAAATTACTTAAACTTCATTTTAATCACAGAGACGTCGAGCTCTTCGCATCAACCTGCTGGTTTACCACACCCTTGGGGCGGGCAAGCAGCACCAGGGCGGACAGCACCCCGTTGCCTGAGGGAGCCCGGCGCCCACGCCGGGGAGCTGGGGGCGGGCGGCGGGGAGGGCCGGTACAGCGGGCACCCACGGGTGCCTCGGGCAGCGCCAGGCGGCCGCTGGCGGCCTCCCCTCCGCGCCGTTCCTTGCCCCTGAAGCAGGGCCAGGAAGGCCCCTGCTCGCCGAGGAGAGCCCCCTCCAGCCCCGCTCAGCCCACCGCGGGGCGGCGGCCCCTCCGCCCGGCAGGGGCTCCC